AAAAACATCGATGAAGTGCTGAACAGTAATGGGAATAGGCTGCTCCCTCGGACTGCTTGCCTACAGCTTTTTTTACCAAAAAATATTGCAAATTCAGATACCACAGGGCTGGAGTGATGCAAGGATCACAGATTTGATTCATAAAGTTAAAATCCAAATACTAGAAAACAGTGAATTGCCAAAAGGGTTTTGTTAAACAGCCAAATAAGAATAGCAGAGTAGGATATAAAGCTTATTATCTATTTATATGATGTTAGTCAGGTCACTACTATAAGGACATGTTCTGTTCTGGCATCTACTCTTCAAAATAACATTCAGAAAATTAGAAATAGTTTAAAAAGCTGACAACAAAAACTAGAGGTATTAAGAAAAATTAAGAAATTTAATCTATTCATATAAATTAAGATTGGAAGGTGTTGTGATCATGGTATGTCAAATATCTGGATCAGGACATTTTCAGTAGTAGAACATCCTCTGAGACAGATATATTGAAATCCAAAGGTTGGGAGCCAAAGTGAGATCAACTCAAACACAGGGCTGTGCTTTGTGGGGATTTTTTTTTTAGATTTTGTTTTTTTATTTGTTTGGGTTTATCTGTTTGTTTGTTTTTGAGGACAGTAGTTGCCCAAGTAACTTACCTACAGAGGTGACCGATTCTTTGTCTGAAGTTCTTAAAGCAAGACTTCTTTTTTTCTAAAATACATGCTTAACTTCTTGACATTATGCTTCTGATGTTGAAATCAGTTGGAGAAGTTTTATGACTGTGATATCCAGAAAAGTGATCAGATATAAGTTCCTTCTACCTTTACCAACAAATAGAAATGTGAGCTTCTGATGGCCCTTACCACTGACGCCTTTGTTTCAATTGCTACTTGCCTTCTACTTCTGGGAGCCTTTAGTCCGACACTGGCAGCACCCACTGTTTTTAAAGCAGTAGCGGGTGCAACTCTCTCCAAGCAGAACCTGGCTCCAGGCAAACCTTTGCTCACTCATTTGAAAGAGTTGGCACAAAATAAAAACCCAGGAAGGCAGGAAGAACTGGGAGATCTGTACTGCAGCACAATTCCCCACCAGAGGAGAAAGAAAGGCATTCTGGGTCCAGAAGCACACGCAAAGAGAGGCTGGGATGAGTAAATCATCCGGATCTGAGGAATTCAATGCAGCTGTTTGCTGGAAGCAATCACCCTGCAGCTCCAGAGGTACATAGTGGAGAGACAGAGGGAGAGAATATGGCTTCTAATTCTTTCATATGGCCAACTGCTATATTAATGGAGACTAAAAATCTTGAAGACAGTTGCTAATTAAATACTAATGGTAGATGAAAAGCCAGAGGGGAAAAAACAGTCCCTGCTGGAAAGCAGTCAGCCCCAGTTGCAGAGCTAGTGAGAACAGCAGCTTTCCAAGAGCCCTTGTGGTGACCTGGTGTTTTAAAGCACTGAGATGCTGCTGGTGGAATGAATCTCAGCAGTAGACATGTCACGGAGAAGATTCGAGCTGAAGACATGATTCTTGCAAGTGGCAGAACCTTACAGATTAAGGCAGGAGACATTAAAAATTTTATGTAAAGCACACTGAAAATTTGCACAGGTAACGTACTTCAGAAGATCTGATGAGAAAAGGAAAAATAATTTAGGAATATACCCCCAAAATGCATGCACAGATGAGGACCTTTGCTTCAGCCAGCAGTCATCTGATACTAAGTCTCACTAAGACTTATAAGAAAACTTTGTAATAGATTGTGCAAGCTCACAATTCTCCATTTAGCAACAAAAAATCAAGAGATTCTGCAAGAAGGATCAGTCTAAGACTCTGGAAGGATGCTTTTAATTCAGCTACAAGGAACAGGAAAATTGCACTATATTTTTTATATATTGTGTATTTATATTTTTAAATAGAAGGCCTGCTGTTGTAGTCTCCATGTAGGTAGAATTCTTTTAGAATTTAAAAAAAAGGTGCCTCAGTCAGTACACCAGGACAAAACTGAAGAAGTGTTGAGATATTTTATTATATCAAAGCCTTCAAATTGAAAAAGCAACTGAAAACAGCTCTAAGACTAATTTTTCTACTATGAGGAACCTTTTCAAAACCCCAGGTTTCAGTGCAAGCATGGAGCACTTGTTTTACAAGTAGACTTACAGCATCTTACACGTTTGTGAACAGTTGCTTTTGTTACAGTAGCTCCAAGGCTTAGCTAAACAAGCCTCACAACTAAAAAGAAAGAACCTAAATATGAATGTAAAAGAGGATACACATAACAAACACAACAACAAACAGATCAGTTTGTGCATAGAGTGCTTGCAAAAGAACTCCACTTGCTGCTTTAGTATCAAAGCACTGAAGAAGAGCAACTTCCCAGTTATCCAATCCTTCTCCAGGGATTCTCACAACGAAAAAGTGAACTGTGCATTTTAGCTCATTCTTGATAATTTTGAACATGCAAATGTCAAGAACTCCTGGGAAAGGCACTGTATTAGGGAACCACAGGTATACTTGTAAGCACAAACCCCCATGCAATGTGTACTATGCACCTGTGTATAGAATATAAATATGCACACATGCACATCATTAAATTAGAAATCTTTCTCCTTTAATACAGTCATGTTGGGTCTCAAATTTCAGTTCTCTGATGCTCTAAAGATTTCTGGAAACACAACATTTGTTTTCAATACAAGAACAAACTTATGTCACAGGCAGCGTTGCTCAGTATGGGGCATAGACTGGCAGCACAGGCCCACCCCGAGGTCAGTCCCAGGGAACTTGGCACCTTCCCCGCTGCCAGCCAGGAGGGACCACTGCTCCACCAGGCTCCACTCCACCTCCTCACACCATGTCTACGTGCTATTGGCAGGGAGGAGGGAACAGAATCAACTGGAAAAGAAACAGCAGCTGAAAGAGGGACAAATAGGGAGTTCAAGATGCTCAGAAAGAGAGAAGGCAGTATCAGGCTCCCTTCCCCTAGAAGGGCTTTCCACTCGTGCCCCGCTATCTGCAGCTGCTGCTCCTCCAATCTCACAACCTCTACCACAGGCACAACCCACCCTTCAGCTGTGAACACCGCTTTTTTCCCCACCCCATGGCAATAATGCTCCCAAGCCCTTCAGCGCTCTCTCCTCCCCGCCTGCTTTCTGAAAACCACAGCCAGGAGACAGATCAGCTAGACAAAAACTTAAAACCAGTGCAAACGTGAAATACAAGGTAAAAAAAGTCTTCTGCTATTACTGGACATGCTGCAGACATTGTGCCTAGTAACTGTGACAATATCTAGCGTAAAAGAAACTTAGCATGGATCTTTTGTTTTTAAATGACATTCAACTCAAACATGCATAGGGAGAGTAAAGTTATTTTATTAAATCATGCACATCACGTGTGTTAGTGCAAATAGTTTAATCTGTACTCCAGAAATTCTATTGTATTTTTATATCTTTACAAAATAGATTTAAAACAATTATTTACTTTAAAAAATGTAATTCTGAAGTTAAGCATTTCAGAACAATATTTGCAATAACCTATATACAAGAGGTACTAAGTACCACTGGCATACGAGTGTTCTGTGGTTGGGTGGCTTCCTGCAACTGAAAAGGATGAAATGAATGAACTAAATGACAATATTTATTTTCTACAAGTCACTTGTGGACTATTTTTTCCCACTAATAATCCTCCCATTAGCAAATCCCATGTAACTTAAGATAGAACCTTTAATTAAAGGACAATGACCTCACAAAGTAAATTATATGCTAATTTTCTATTTAAATATTTAAACTACCTGTCGATTGCCATAACATTTTTAAAGCCAATTCAATTGCTGAGATTACCTCCCTATTTTGAAGTTTCCTTTAGCAGAGCCATTTTACTTTACCATTCTTTAGCATATTATTTAATTCTTTAATAAACTTCTTGTGACAGAACTGTTGAGCTGAACAAGACAACAGTCTACATTTAATTCATCACTAACCACAGTGATTCCCACCAAAAGTCAGCAAAGAGCAATAGTTATAGTACTTAGATAAGGAAGAAAAACTTTGTAATGGGGACCACTGCATCATACTTACAGCCATGTGATGAGGATGCACAAATTTTACTACCAAATTAAAATCACCTTGACCTGACAATACATCATCAGGTATATGATTCCAAGTCTGTAGTATTTTACGTATCTTAAGTTTCAGCTAATCACAGACATACTGTAGCAGTTCTCTTAATAAAGTTACGTCAACAAAAACTTATCTAAAGAGCTTCTCCAGCTCAAGTCAGAAAGTATCAAATGACTGAAAAAATAAATTGATACATGTGGTATGTGATAAAGTGTTCATACTTTTAAAGAATGCATCTCTTTAAATATATGAAATTTAATAAATTACATTCAAACTAAAGTTAACGTAAGTTGAATCACTGCACTATGTCCATCAAATGACCAAGTACTTGCTCCCAGAAATACCTTCGTTCACTCAAGAACACACACATGCTTACACTCGCACACGCGCACACCAAATAGTCTAGGTTGGTCTTCACCATCAGTATCTCCATCTCTTTAAGGCTGGACATGAATTTTGTTTATTCCCAAAAATCATTAATAAAGCAATTCTTATAAAAGAAAAATATGCTTCCTTCAAAAGATGTGGTAAGAGAAGTTTTCTTAAGTCTTGTTCCCAACAGCTCAGTGACTAACAGCAAGTAAAATGGTATACTAGTTTTTCTTTTTTAAAAAAAATCAAAACAAAACCAAAACCAAACCATACTGAAAGGCACTGAGCACACTGCATCTGTTTTCCAAGTATCTGCAAGGTTACTTGGCTTGGGCATCCAAATCAGAAATGTGTTTTTCCTTTTAAATCTGGCAATCAGATTCTAAAGTAAGTGTCCACAACCCTAGCCATTATAAATAATTTGGTACCAAGAAGCCTACTTTAGGCCACCATTATAGTATTCAGAATCCCAACATACTAATTTAAAACTTGCATGAAATTGTAAGCAAAATATTGCTCACAGTATGATGAATCACAATTTTATTCCCTCTTTATAGACAGATACATTTTATACAGTTTAAAGCAAATGACCCTACTGCTGTTCTCACGCAGAGCTGTGCTGTATTAAGAGGTAAAAAGGAAGAGAATTAATCTGTTTTCCCTCAGTATATGAATGTTGCCAGCTTCTAAAGGGAGGACGGTGTATGGATTCAACAACAGTTCTCATGGAGAAGCTCTGGTTAGGCCTGGGTACAGCACCACGGCTGTTACAGCAACCAAAGCTGCCATCACAGGCATCCAAGGCCATTGTCTCTGTGTGGAGAGAAAAAAAAAATCAATATCATATTTGTTCTAATTCATACTAATCAGTTTATCCTGTGGTTCCTGAAAGTCCTGAGTACCTGTTGATAGGCATCACTAAAATGTTACCCATGAGCCCTAATGCAGGCTAGTCCTGCCTTAGAGCATCACAGTAAACCGTGTTTCTCTAGCAAGGAGAACTCCACAACTCTTCATGACTGAGGATCATCAGGAGCACTTTTTGGCAGTTCCGTATTTCCAGCTTCATTACTGTACACACCGCAAAGAAATCTGCTATTAAACACGTGAGGGCTTAAGATGTTTAAAACATTGCTTGTGCCAGGTAATCACTAGACACAGGTTTCTGCAGTAATGACATCTTTAGCTTAGGTTTTGAATGTTTAAATCCAGATCTATGAAGCAGATCCTAACAACATCATTTCAAATGGATGGTCACAACATTTCATGACAACAACAGCATTTTAAGAGGAGGACACACTGAGAGACGTTAGAAAAAATGCAAGCTGAGAGTTCAGAATACAAACCAACCACCTACTTCTCATCTTGTATTTTTTTTTTTCATCATCTTCATAGCAATAGTGAGGAAAATTAAAGTTTTTAGAGCCAGAGAGGAATTTCTTAGTCCATAAATAGGAACCAAAGCTTGTTGATTTTTATTATTACTTAGAGGCAAACTCTTCATTTTTCATAGTTAATTAAGCAATTAAGTTTTCTTACAGGCCCTAGCATCGCAGCAGTGTGCAAAAGGCAGCCCATTTGCTAAAGACAAACAGACCAAGTCAGAAGAGGCACATTCCGAACCAGTTAGAACGAAATTCACTGTTAGAATTAAAGAAATCACACAGATGTTAAATGATTAGTTGATTGCTCAGCTCATCAGTATCAACAGGATGGCATATTAAATGAAGGGTTTGCTTCAGGTCAAGAAATACCTGTGAGCATTTCACCATGCACTATTTTATACAGAAATGGCACAAACAGGTGAGAGGGACAAACATACATTGACTGAACAGTAGTGCTTGTACCTTTCGCTACCACAATGGGCCGTAACACCAATACAGGAAAGCCAGGATTAGGCCGATGAATACGGCTGGGACGGGTTGTAATATGGAAGGCTAAAGAAGGGAAGGGATATTAAAAATCACTTTGTGCTATAAATCAATCAGGTAAGGATGATTTAGAGAGGGGAAAATAAGTCAGTGAGTTTTGTTTTAACTGAAATGTATTAAAGACATCTACCACAATACAGCATTGTCTAATCCGGTATACAAAGTTAGTACACCATTCTACTCAAATGAACAGGGATGTTTAAAAATAAAGGGAAATAAACAGAAAACGTTCTAAGAAACCTCTTGTCACAACCTGGAATTTAGCACTTCAAAACAATACAAATCTTAAACTGATTTGCCTGCATACTATTTATAGTTGGTTTTAGGGTTTTTTTAAGTGATAGGAAATCCCATCTGGATTTCTGAAGGCAGAAAGACTCACACCAGATATCGAATTTCTCAACTACTTCTTCAATCCTTGCAAGTTAGCCTTTCCCATTTTCCATCACCTGCCTCCAGGAAAAAGGATTCCTCCTTTAGTGAATCAATTACAACTATGTCCACAGGCAAACCCAGTAATTCAGATTGTAACATGGCTGCACAATCAACACTAAGTTACTATAAAGCAGGGAAGTACATTTCTATTAGAGATACCACAAAGATCAGCATCTCTGGCAGGTCATCACACTTGTGACCAAATGCAATTCTGAAAATCAATCAAATGTTGCAGCTGGGCCAAACTACCAGCTGGTAAGATTGCAGGGTTCATTTAGCTTATGGCCTCATTAGAACCATCTACACATTTTCTCAGCTACATTCAATTAACTGTGAACTACTTTACTTCAGATTCTGTATGGACTCTATCCTTAATATGACAAATTAAAAGCAAAAAGACCTAATTTGTTTTTAAGCTGTCCTTGGAAGACATCTCTTTTCTTTGTATCTTCGCACACACACACAGACACACAGAGGTTAAGTTCAAACCATGCCAAATATTTTCTTAGGAACTTTTTGTGCTGAAGCCACCTTGATTTTGTTCAGTCAAATAAAAAAATAATTAATTAATGTTTTAAGACTTTCTAAAACATTGTGGTTCATAAATAAAATCTCATCCTGTTATGAATTTGAAGAAGTCACTTAAAATTATAGAACCTCTGATATGGTTCAGCACACAGGAATCTTAGAAGGTATTCTAGTCTCTGCCATTTGATTCAGATTTGTTTCAATCAAGGCAAATATTTAATAGACAAATTACATGTAACTATTAAAGTCATTTTCATGCAGGATTATTTTTGTGTCATTGGTGCCACAAATCAGAGTGCCACCTTCTCACAGAAAGCATGTTGGTAGAAATAATCACAGCAGTGTTCAAAAAAGTGCCAGAAGTTTAAGTCAACCAGAGCAGCTAACGTTATCAAACCATCCACATGAACAAATCTGTCATATAAAGCGCATCAGGAAATAATCAGTGACTACAAGCATGCAAGCACAAGTAGTACACCACACTGCTAAGCATTTCAGAACACAACACTTTTTTTGTTGTTGTTTAAGTAAAACTTAAGTATAAAAACTTAATGTTTAAATTATATCTCAAGTGGAGTACAGAAGCCTTGTCATCTCTAACATTTGTTAGTTCACTGAACAATTCTATGTATTTAATTTTTTAAATTATTTTTCAAATTTTTTTTTTTTTTTAAAGGTATCCACATTCATGGCTGTGGCATCTTGGCAAATGAAACACATGATAAAAATCCACCACATAAAATGAAATTGCCTCCAAATTATTAAATTTTCCACCTCACAAACTTATCAATCTATAACAAATCTCCTTATTGTCAAGGAACATTTAATCAGGTGCTTCATCAAAAATGTATATCTTGTATTAAAATATGAAGATATGCAAACTCAGACACAGATGAGCTGCCAAAAGGAACAAATCCCATGGCGGGAAGTCACTTTTCTGTGGCACACTGTCCTCAGAAATAAAGTAGTGTAAGGGGACAATGGTACTTTAAAAATTTGACCTTAGAACTCAGCCCAGTATCCATGATGCTTCAAATAATCCACAAGATAGATACGTTTTACATTACTGACTGTGAGTAATGCTTGCTTGAACAGCAAGCTTGTCCTGCAAGTCCTTATATGGTTGGATGCTCTTCATCACACCCTGACCTCCAGGTTTCAATTGTCATAACTAACTCCTCCTCTGGAAGCAGATTTTGGCAACTGCTGTGGATCCCGATTTCGTTTAAATACTCACCTCAAATTCCTCCTAAAATTTCCCTTCCCTTGCAAGCTTTTCCATTTTCATCAGGTGCTCCAACTCCCTTCACAGTATTTCTTCCCTCTACTACCCGCCTTGTTCCACTGATCATTTTAATCCTGAGGTTGTTTTTGACAGAGCAGAAAATCTCATATTCACAACTATTTATTCAGTGTTATCTCAGTTGTTTGTTTTTGACTTCTGTCTACTTTAGTAACTCAATATTATTTGAGCATTGCAGAATAATTTTAAGTAGGAAGCAGGTTCCAAGAGAATTATAATATATTCCTGTAAATATGGCTGGAAAAAGTGAGAAGGGCTTTGAATTCTTTACATCTTTGACAGCTCTACTATGTTAAGAGTTTTACATTCAGTAATTGGCTACGGCAAAGACTATTCACACAAACTTTGGGCATCTAGCAGCTAGATGACTTCAGGGGATGGTACCTGTAAAACTTTCTTCATAATCAGAGAAACAGTTTTCTAAAAGGCTATTACAGAACTTGTTTTGTACTGTCCACTAGAGGAGTTGTTCACCCTGCACTGATCATAGAGACAGTACAGGAAGACAATAAACCAGCCATCCCAGGGTAGTAAGGCATCTAAAATAAGGCTACGAGCACCTTATAATGTGTCTGCCACACCCTTAACATTTGGACATTTTCAGAAGTCTCAGTATAAAAGTGTTGTCCCTAGCTGTGAACTCAATAGCAATGATACAATGTTCAAATTAATTGCAACAGAAAAAAATATTTTCATTAGTGAATAGAAAGGACAGTTCCACTGCACTGTTTAGAGCATGAGCTGATCAAGGATAACCACTGTTAAGAAGCATGAGCAAGAGTAAGGAGGGAACACCCACTGTAATTAACACTAATAAAATTAAAACATTTTGAAAAAGATTGCTTAATTCATTTGGATATAGGTTTCTCAGCTTTTACGCATGTATCATTCTTGGAAATTAAAATGTTTGCTTAGTTCTGGTTCACTAGTATTTAAGCCAGAGGTTTTTAAGAAAGCAGATGTCTAAGGTCATATTTAAAACTGTCACAGAAACTGTACATTTAACTTGCATGTGTAAATGTAACAGTGTAATGACCTGCAAATTTGCACAGGCAGTAACAGAATGGAATTTTGCATATATAATATGGTATACAGCCCTTTTTTTTTTTTTCCAAGTCCATCCTTTTCTATTTGACAGTTACACACTCCCTCAATCAGCAGAACTGCCAGTGTCAGAACCCTACTTCCCCACATATTTTGTACAGACTTACGTTATTTCCTTTTTCTTGTAGCAGCTTCAGGTTTTCTTTACATTGTTTGAGCTCTTCTGTGAGTGACTGATTTTCTTGTTCAGCCATCTCATACTTCGCCTTCAGCTCTGAGAGCACAGTCTGTGTTCTTTCATACTAAAGACAAAGAGAAAACAGTCTGCGGATCCCTGGACACCCAACACATGCTCACATTTGCTTAGCACACAGCTTCCCTTCCTGTCCTCTGCCTAGAGTCATTTGCCTGGGATCAGTACACACTCTTTTCGTAAGAGCTGGGTAGAAGAATTGTAGTTTAGATTTTCTTTTTTTCTAAATGAAGATTTTGTCCCTGACTTTGAAGGGCTTGGATTATTTGTTTTAAAAAAAGGAAATATGAAGTAAATGCAAGGCCTTAATCCATCTCTCCTACCAAATAATTCCTCATTATCATATTGGAAAAGACTGCAAAAACTATGAAGACCATAAGAAACAGGGGAACAAGGAATCCTTTATGTTTAAACAGTGGTCTTCATCTAGGTTGTAGTTTAAATACCTACACCAATCAAATAGGTGCAAAAATCAATATTCTCTATGAAGTAAAATAAATCCTCTTCCCACGCAGCAGACTCAAACATAAGAGTAAGAAAGGCATTAAAAAATATTATGCCTTATTACAATCATGCCATAACCCTCAGCGTGGGTCAAGTACAAACAATGCTGGGTGAATATGTCTCATGTTCCTACAGTATGGGCAGTTTCTTCTTTTTCAAATTCACATTCAATTTTTTTTATAGATCACAAGCTTTCTAGTACTCCTCAGGACAGGGATTAGCAAGGACAGAACCAATGACTTTCAGTACTGGCACTTACCACAAATTTAAAAGACTGAGCATCTTTACAAATACATCTGACTACAAAAACACAGACTAACAAGACTGAGTTTTTTAAACTGTGAAAATGGTAAGGACTGTGACATGGATGAATTAATAGCAAAACAAAAGAAACTAAAAGCAGTGACTGAGGAAAACTTCACTCAAAATGCTCATAAGAGAAAGCAAGTAATTGTTGGAGGCTATAGCCTACTTCCAGACATAATCTTTAGAGGCTAGACAGATTCAATACATGCTCAGAACCCTAACTTTTCCTTATGCACTTGCTAACCACCTTCAGCAGCTTAGTGATCCAGTAAGATGAAAGGAGACCTTTGTAAAGCATGTGTAGTCCCAGTGTCAAATACGACAGTTTGAATCTAACTAGGAAGATCATACTTACTAAAAAGAATTAATTTTGATTCATAACAGCTAATGGAACTCTATGCAACCACGTTCAGGAAGACTCTGAATAAGGGTTTACTTGTCTGAACAGCTTAAAAGTAAATTCACTAAGGTAATGCACAAATGGAAACTTTAGGAAATTCCCAAAACACACACAAGTAATTTTATCTGAATCTTCCTTTTTAGATTTAACCTGCAGTTTATATATTGTAAGCTACTATAAAAGTACTTCCAATAAAAGATTGAAAATTTTAATTACTAGAAATCTTAGATTTTTCTTTTAGCTTAAAAGTCAAAGCCATTGGGCACTATATTCTCTCAAAACAAAATTAATGTTTCCACATCATGTTACCTCTTTTTGAACATCTTTTGCTTGACTCTCAGCCTCACTGAGTTGGCTTTTTAGACTAGCTGCATCCCGTTGATGTTTTTCTCTCAAAGATCCCATCTGATTTTCAAGTTCCTTTCGAGACATTTCAAGAACACTTATATCGCTGGTTAGCGCTAAACTCTGTTTCTGAGAGCTGAAAAACAAAATCCAATTGATTCTTCATGTGTTTTAAACAAACAAGATTTTTTTAAAGCACTTTTCATTCTCCATTTTTTTTTAAATATGGAAATATCAGCTTAGAGCAATCACAGAAGTGCAGTTCATCATTGTCTCCCTATGCAAAGTACTGACTCAAAAGGCTGTCCATGGTCTTGCTTTTAAATACATGTGCACAGCTTAGTGTATCATAAATCATAATTTATCCTTTAAATAATTTATCATAATTTTTAGTCTCTTATTGTACTTTTTATTATTCACTAAGTATTTATTATATACTCCAAAGTATTTTGAAACAAATTTGTAACAAGAAGTCTGTCCAAGATTGTTAGAAGTATCTCACTTATTTGCACACGTTTCTTTGCTTGCATAAGCTAATGGCTAGTATATCCTTTAAGTGTTTAGTACAATTGTGTAGCAGTCATAGAAAGCTCTCAATTAAGCCATTACAAACTTCAATGTAATAACCAAGTAGTGTTAATCTGTGCCTGTGCAGGACAGAAAGAAAAATAAGGGAGATCTTGCATATCTCCCTTATGCAAATCCTGTATTTGCTCATGTGATCCTTATATGAAAAAATATGAGTGGAAATCAGGGCATGATGGAATGAAAAAGAAAGGTTTGATTCCTGTAAAGTAACACATTACTTCTAGAAATGTTTTACTGTGGGGTATATCCACTTTTTCAATTAGATCTTACATCAGTGAGGAAGCCAGAAGAAAAAAAGATATCTAAGCACGATGATAAAAATTCAAATCTACAATAAAACAAAGTTGCTGTCCCATATTTATTTGGTGAATTAAATTCCAATATCTGAAACTGAAAAACAATGTATTAATGGCAGATGAAGAGATAAGAGGGAAATTTGCTTCCAGGCAGAAGATAGCCTTTAGCAATGTCATGTGCTCAAACAGCAAAAGAAATACAGTAAAATACAAATACTCCTGCATTCTAAAATCCCTCTCAAAAGATATGATGGCACTTGTGATAAGAAGATTTGTATTTTTCTGTTAAGCAAAATATGATATAGAATACTGTTTCTGCCCATCATAACTATTTATAATGTGACAGGCTTCCATGAGACACCATACTATTTGAGAATCACTTTCCAACCCTGAATGCTGAGAAAATTCTAGGTTAGGAAATCTGTGTGGTTTATTATCTTTTAAGTAGAAGGATAACTGTTAAGTCTAAATAATTCCAAAGTGCATGCTTCCAAGTCCTTATTAAAAGCAGCAAAATAAGTCAGGTTACCTTATGATGATATAACACGACCGATAAGTAACACAGAAGCATTTGCAAAACAGAAAAAATAGCTTGGTATAACAATTTGGCATTAAAGTGTGTTCTGCCTGATACTATAACATAAATAAAATTTCAATACATTTACTGAAACACCATCAGACATTTAGTATCACTTTTGGGAAGAAAAAAACAACAAAAAAACCTCTTCAGCTGCTATGACATCTTCCTAGAAAAATCCATTGTGCCCTTACCTAGAAAGCTCCTTCTCTTGTCGTTGAAGTTCAGATGTAAGTAAAGTATTTTCCTTCCTTAGTGTAACACATTCAGCTTCCAGGGCACTCCACTCTGCCTTCAACTTTTCAAGTTCACCTGCAATGAATAAAATTTAATTGAATTGAGTAAAATTAGTTCATGACTGCTCCAAGTATCACCAGCTAATAAATGCAGGAAAAGCTGGTATCTGTCATAAATCTCAAATGTATTTTATTATAACCATGTCACATGAATTCTCTCACAAGCACCTATAAAACATTACCATATCTTCTACTGTCAGGAGGTTTGTGAAGCATTAAACCACCTAGTGCTTTTTTTTTTTATGCAAGCTTTTTCTAAGGCACAAATGAGTATTTTAGAAACAGTGACAGAAAAGTGAATTTGAAGAAAATAATTTCCCGAACTTGAAAATAGGAAACAACGAGAATCACTAGATACCATGCCACTGCTACAAGGAACAGAATGTTTAAATCAATTACTAAAGGGTGAAAAGGAGACCTTTGAAATAAATCTGTCCCTGGTAAAGTAGATAAAAATCAATATTAGACACTTAGCAATACAGTGACAGAGACCAGAGTCTGAACTGGAAAAAGGCTTCTCTGGCAACTTCACAAAGATTAACTGATTCAGAATTTAAAGCATATTTTACTTATGCCAGTTTCTCTTTGGCATGTACGAAGTTTCAGTATGTGCTTTTGAACTCTGTAAGATTCTCCAAGACCTGAAGCTACAGGCCTGGAGTAGTGGCTTTCAACCAGTCCTCATGAGATGTGGGTTTATTACAGGTAAAGTAGAACGCAAATGATTGAGCCTAAAAGAAGCTCTATGCTGCTCAGCACAACATATTTGTGTATCTCTACATCACTTGTCCAGAATACAGCTTTAATTTTGAATTTATTTTAACATTTTTATGTTAAAGATGAGATGGTATCAACAGTTCTCTTAAGCCATGAAATACAGTTATTTGTCTTGAAGGAAGCTTTGCTAGGAAAATTAAGAGGTCAGAAGCTACCCATTTACGGGCTTAAATTATACAGAAGTTACACAAGTCCTTTTGGAAAACTGTGGCAGTATCAATCCCTCAAACAGCACAAGTTTTCCATCTTTCATAAATAGAATTATACTTGGTCTACTTTTGATATCAAAGGGTACCTAAGCTAATTGAGGCATAATTGATAATTACTATTTAATGAAGTACAAAAAGCAGCTTTTGTAACACTACAAGCCTTGATACACATATACAAATACACACGTGTGTATATAGGGACATAGTAAACAACTACAGAGAGACAGACAAATTGTGATTTGAGTAACTGACATCCATCAGATTGAGAAGGATGCTGCTGTTGGCACTGGTCTGTGACATCCTTTTAAAAAAGTACCTTTTAAGCGAGTAGCCTCTTCCTTCTGCTGATCCTCACACTGCTGACATCTGAGCTGAAAACTGGCTTGCAGATTGACAATCTCTTTTTCATAATCTGAGGCATCCTTCCGCCACCGCTCAAGTTCTGCTCGCACTGTTTGCAGCTCATCTTGCAGTGCAGAAATATCCGTATCTCGTTCTGATGCTGCCTTTTCTGCCACTTGCTGAAGTGACAGAATCTCATTTTGAGCACTGACTAGTTCATTTCGAGTGCTTGAAATTTCATTCTCCTTTTCCTCACGAAGATTCTCAGTATCTTCTTGTAACCTTCGCAACTGAGCTGGAAAATTTACATTCATGTTAATCTTTTTTAAAACCGTATTTACAGAAAATCTAAAAAACAACTCCCTTTCAACTTGTTGATGTTTACTAGGACTAAAGAATCCTAATGCAATTGAAAAAGATATGAATCTTGTCAAATGTTGTACCCTTAAAGAGACATGTATGTGTGGTCATGTATTACAAAGAGTCAAAATAAACAAAAATTATGGTTGTTCAAAGCTTTCTCAGACAGGGTTGTGTTATGTGTGTGACACTAAAGCAACTCTCCAAAAACTGAAACCAAGATTTAGATCCAACTTCACTAGAAGCAAAACAAGTATTACAGAACTGAGGGGTTCAGGGACAAGAAGTAAAACAAGAAAACTTCTCTGACAAGCCAAACAGTTGCAAAGCTACACTGGAAATGTTTGCCTGTTCAGCAGTTAACTTGTGATGTCCATAAATATTTGAGGCACAGAGTCTAATTTCTACTCCAGTCTCAACATGTAAAGGAAATAAAAATTACTTTACTTCTCTGCAAAAAGCATTTTTCAAAGAACAAGATTAATTTTGAACTGAAAGGGACAGCTGCAACAAACACACTGAACTATAAGTCCCTCAGTATTTACAGTTTACTGTAAACGTGCAGCAGTCACATACATGCCAGGTTATTTTACATTTCTGCATGAAGCAAATCTTATAAATTATTCTTGTTAAAAACTGTTTCACTATTAAACACATCTCTTCTCTGAACAACTATTTTTCATAAACACACATGCAAATAGAATCCAGAGCAAACCACTGGGAAAAAAAAATACAGTAGAGAAGAAAGGGAAGCATGAAAGAAAGAGGAATAAAATTATAGTTAAAATCCTGACTGATGGAAACAAAGTGTTTAATTTGCTCAGTGGTTTTGTTTTGCTTTGTAAAGAACACATATAAGAGTTTACATGTATTAATTGATTTTTAATATGGGAAAAAGCAAATACTAAATTAATGAAGAATTGCTCTGAGAAGAAAAGTGCAAAGTTCTTAACATCACTTGAAAATCTAATATAAGATACTGTAGAAGGTCAGAATTACACATCTGAAGCTACATGTTTCAGAAGCAAAGGGCAAAAAAGGACAGTGGAAAGCATGGGGAAGATAACCAAGGCTGAGTAACCTTTAAAAAATTTATTTTATTACTTTTGTTCTCTCAATCCATTACAGGAGGTGACACAGAGAATGCGAGCGAGTTGCAGCATAAACTGATGTGGCATAAAAACTACTCAAAAGATTTGCACTTTCACTGTAACTATACAGGAGGGGATTCTGCCTCTCTACTCTGCTCTGGTGAGACCCTTCCTGGAGTACTGTGTCCAGTTCTGGAGTCCTCAGCACAGGAAAGACATGGACCTGTTGGAGCGGATCCAGAGCAGGGAAGCAAAAATGATCAGAGGGATGGAACACTATGGGGTTGTTCAGCCTGAAGAAGAGACGGGTCTGAGGAGACCTTGTTGCTCCCTTAAAGGTCCCTTCCAACCCAAACCATTGATGTTTTCCAGTACCTGCATATACTGTAATATAGGCAGAATTCACATACAGGAACAATCCAGCAACTTTGCCATTATTTGAAGTACAAAGAAGAATAAAAATGCAAAATTAAAAAGAAAACTTCCACTATATCTCTTACTCATGTAAGCCACCACCTCATCTAAACTGAACACTTCTTTTTTTTTTTAAATAAGTAATGACAAGTTACTTGAATTCCCTTGCTTTACCTATCTGTTCATCTAAAGAACTTCACATGTAAGGATGTCAGTTGTTTCTGTGGTACCTTCTCTTCTCTATAACAGACATATACTTCAAGAAATGTTACTGAGTGAAGCTGACAGGATTTTTCTCCTCCACTACAGTTCATAGAGGCTAACAAGAGAGAATCCTGACATCCTGACAACTTTTCCCAAGTTCTGAGATGGGTCACACCCTAAAAGTTTGGGACACAGCAAGCATACGATGAACATCAGAACGTTTTGAACTACCATGGAGAGAGAAGAGGAGGAAACATAAGCAAGATCTCACTTGAGAAGGGTTCAGGAGACAAAAAGTACTGAACTGACAAGGTATCTTGCAGTTAAGTTTGGTTCTGTCAAGCTTCTACTCTGATTCTCTTTTCTTGAGAGGGGGAAAAGAAAAAAAGATTTATTTTTTTCTGCAAATCCTAAATTCTAACTTTTGCTACAGTATTTTTTACTTAGAGAATTTTCATTATTAGCAGGATAAGAATAAAAATTAAATTGCTCCTCTTGTTCTGAAAATGAGTATTATGTTAGCTCCTCTTTTATACAGGTGCAATGGTGGAAAAGATAAATATTCTTTGCTGACATTCATATAAAAAAATGCTATTACATAAGTTCCTCAGTGTAACTGGTATATGACAAGTACCACATTCCACAGGAGAATTTTCATTATTTGAAATGTCATATACCAGTTGTCATATATATATATAACTGGTATATGACAAGTACCACATTCCACAACAAACTACCACCCATAAAGTAATTTGCTTTTCTTTGGTTTCCCAAGAAAGTGAGGATCGTTAGTCCATCTGGCTGTCTGCTCATCTGCCTTCCAATCAATTTAAGGTCCAAACCAAATGATACGCTGCAAAGATACCAAGGTATGAAGCTTCTACAAATTTCATAACAATCAATGGCTGAGTAGATGCTCAAACTAATGCTTGATCTGAGGAAGAGTCACAATATAACCCTTACTGATTTCACAGCTAGACAAGCTCTTGACCAATAGGCTCACTCACATGCACAGGCTGACAAGTTAACGTGATACAGAATACATGACACGGGAGTTATGTAAATCACAGGATTCCATTCTGCTATAATTATTTTGGGCTGAAAAAAGCATGACTGGTCAAACTGTTTTTTTCAAAAAGCACAGACTGTATGTGTTGTAGAAATTTTACAGCATGCTCTGAGGTTGGATGCAGATCTGGAGTGATTAAAAATTTATTTAAGAGGATTCTACCAAAGAAGTGAAAAGACTGAGTAGCACAAAAAAAGACTAAACCTTTTGAGTGCTCTGAAGATAAAATAGTCACAGTAAAAATCCCTGAATCATTCAAAGCTGAGAAGGACTGAAGAAAGTGGAAGGAGAAGAGGCATCTGATACAGATTATGTCTTCTGCATTTTCTAAGTTATGATGAGAAACATAGGAATTGACAAGAAACATTTCATAATAAAATTCAAAGATATGGTGAAAGAAATCAGATTTAAAACATACACTCAGTTAACATTTTCCTTTATTAGTGCTTATGATGTCACGGAAACAGCCAAAGCTATATATTTTCCCTCAAAGAGTGGGGTGGAAAAAGAAGAGCTCCTACCTTGCAGAACATTTATTTGCTTGTTAGATTCTTCAACTTGCGCTCGGTATGCTTTTCTCTCTTCTTCCAACAGTGCTATAAACGAAAGTAAAAATGCACCCAAAAGTTTTTGTTAGTAAGAAATATTTCAGCTCTAATTATAGCCATAACTTCCCCTTAACTGACAAGATTAAATCACATTATTTCAGTAAGTTATCAAAGCTAGTAACTGTGTAAGTAGTTTAATTAAAAGTTAATATTAAGACATCATTCCATTATTGTGGTAGTATTACAATTATTTTGAAATTAATACAATCTGTTGCCTGATCCAAAAACTCCACATGTGCTAAATGCAAACTGGTGTGGGAGGAGAAAAAAAAAAGAGCTGTAAACATACCCTGTAAAGAACACTGAACAATATTCAATTAAACTAGACTATACTATTTTCTGTCAAAAACAATCCACAGTTTGCCGAGGATAACAACACAGCTACATATCAGATAGGGTGATCTAAATAAAGAACTACTACTGAATACATTAAATTATGTACATTATCTGACTGAAATACAGATGAATCAATATCTGTAGATTAATATATTTTATAAGAATGAAATATATGGAGTTCAAGTATGTATTCAAAACTATGAAAAGATGTCCGTCTATCTTGAATCAAAAAGTCAGAGCTCAATCAGACTGTATACAGAGTTTAGAAAAAAAGCAAAAGTTTCTGACATTCTGTGCATAAGATGTGAATACTATGAAACAAATCTAACAGACAGTCAGCAAAACTGTCCCCCCTTTTAAGACTACCTGACAAATACAATTTTAATGGATACCCTACACAACCAAGTTGATCTGGATCTCACCTTGAAGTTCAAAGCATTTTTGTTTACTTGTCCTAGCTAGCTCTTGGGCTTCAATCAGCTCCTTGTGCAGCTGCTGAATTTCTTGCTTAGTCTCAGTCTCAGATTGTGCACCCTGCAATTCATCTGATAAAAGAACATTTTCTTTACATCATAAATTTGTACAACAGTTTAATTTCCACTGCCATTGTGATGACTGGTGATTTGTTATTCAAATCATCCAAAGTTAGTTAAAGTAAACTCAAAATTAATTAGGTAAATATTAGCAAAAATATTAATATACTTTTAAAAGGAGGAAAACATATGCAAACTGTAAAACATTCATTACATACAACATGCAGTATAAAACAAAGACAAACAAGAATGTGAGAGTTTTTAAAAACACTGTATAGATTGGCAAGGATTCCTGGATTGACAAAAATGAAGGAACAACAAGCATAAGACAACCCTTGGCTGTGTTTACAACTCGTCTGTTTTTAAAAGGAAGCTACTCTAACCTTCTCTCCTCGCACACACTTACCAGCAGTGACCCTGTGTCCCCTGCCTCCCCAGCCCACCCTCCCACAGCCCTGCTCCTGGCAGCACGTACCAGCCCCGGCAGGCAGCACGGTGGCACGTGTACAGCCCCAGCCTTCTACTGAGGCTGGGCAATGCCAGTCAGCTGCAAGAGATGATGCAAAGAGCTGCTATTAAGTAGTTTGCTACTGCCAATCAGCTTGCTACCATGCAAGGCTTGGCTTCCTCCTCTCCCTCTGTGGACCATAATGACAAGGAAAGGAAAAATTTAGTGAAATTTTCTAAAACAAAATTAAGAAAATGAAGAAAAGTCTACTCTCCTTTATTACATTCAGTGGTCTAGTGAATACCAAGTTAAATTTTGCCCTTTACAATTTTTTCCACTATGTCTTAAAGTATTAGGTATAGCTTTTAACACAATCAGATATCTATGCATGTTATTTAAACTCCAAATAAAAACATTTGCTCTTCTCCACAAGTTTTGTAGCAACTAAAATGTACATTAAATACCTCTCGGGCCCACAAGAGATGACTTGCAATCACAGAGAAATTAAGTACTTCTAAAGCTGAGGTTTTGGGGGAATTTAAAAGAGGAGTATTTGTAACTAATAGCAGTGTCCTCTTTACAGGCACACACTAGAAACTAGATGCAGTAACAAAGAGGAAGAGCACACTCCAGCCTGCAGGCATCTGCAATGCCAGAAACCGGATCCAGGAAACTCTCTTCGCTACATTTTCCTTAAGCAGTGTCTGTGCAGAAACAGATCCTTCAACAGGCACAAACAGCACCAAGAAACTGCAGAGGCAGATGGCTAAAACTTTACATAAACGCCAGTTAGGTGAGAAAGGTAAAGGAGGGAAACCAGTGAAAAAAGTTGAGCTGTACATCACAGGAGAAGGAGAACAAAAAGGTAGAGGTGTTACACAGCTAACTGGTTAATAAACATCTCACGTTATAGATCATATGGATTTAAGATAAGGATACACTGATTAGAATAAAAACCCCAAAAGATAAATTGCTTTGGTTGTCTGGACCTTTCACTAATAAAAAAAAATAAATACATTTATTTTTTATTTATTATTAATAAATAAATACTAAACTAAATAGTTTAGTTTGTCATACTTCTGACATTCATATTTGGCTGTACGTCGCCAATAAAGTAACTATAACATTTTTTTGCTGTTTTCTTCATTAAAGTAATTGTTTATCAAATCATGCTAAAGTCTTTGTACTGCATCCCTCCAAGAAAAGAGGCTACGTTTTTCCTATTCTCCCAGTAATAAATTGGTGGGATCGAGTAGAGCTGAGGGTACACATGTGCTTTTATACTTTTTCAGAACAAAATTATGAGAGCAGAAAGGACAAAGAGGGCCACATATTTAATCCAAATACTTTCTTTTATAGTTTATTAGAGTTTTGAATCCAAGTTTCACTTTACTGAACATGTTTTGTTCTGAGCTTCTCATGGACAAAGACTTGGGGCAATTAGACTTTCAACCCTCTTTAATGAGACTGCTCAGAAGAAATGGATAAGGAAGTTGACAAATCATGCCTGATAAAGAAGCAGTGTCCCAAATCCAACAACAGACACCCTAAATGAACTTTCTGGTGGTCAGTAATTTCCAGTCAAGGAAGCATACTTTATAAAAGATAACACTGCTTCAAAGGAGATGAAGAACTCAACTTATGGGACAACATAATCAGTTCAGCAAAGGCACAATCTCTGTCAGAGTAAAAACTCTCCTACCCAAATGCAATAGGGGAATTTCCATATGCCTGACGTGCTCCTAAGTCAAAACCTAAGAAATATAAGCATGAGAAAATAACAGGTTTTCGGTCTTTTCCAAACTGAAAATTTTCTTACTGTCTTTTGTTCAAAGCAAACATAATTTTTGTGCTAACTCTAGTTTTGGGAAAAAAAAAAACTTTAGTGAGTAGTATTGCCATATTTATAAATAATAAAACCACTAAATATCATCAGGCTTAGAATTAGTTCCCTCAAAAAGCAAAATTGTATAACAAAAACCTGGTTTGAGAACCAGTGTAAAAGGCTGCAATTAAAAAAACTATTTGAGCAATTTCCAGAAGTATTCAGCATTGGACTGACTGTTCTCAGAGAAGTCCAAGGAATTTATCATTAATTACAACATGGTGCCAAAAAAAAAAATAAAAGTCAAATACAAAAGTTTGAAAACCCTCATTCATTCTAGGTCATGGAAAATTTTAATCTGCCGTCAGATTGTTTTCCATGTTACAAGAAAAGTTCTTATTTAACACCACTTTGTTTCCCACCCCCAGTGAGGTTTCCCTTAACATCAACTCTACTGGTAGATTTAAATTGTCAAAAAAAATTAGTGCGATCTGTACAAATCATTCCCAAAGCACACAAAAATTTCTTCTCCTTCAATCTGACCTAAGAAAAGGAGTTTAATCCATGGGTCAGTTTTGGGTAAAAAAAGACCACTTCCAAATCATTAAAAAATACGATGGTGTATGAAGGAATATTTTGCAATTTTAGGATCTATAAAATAAAATTTCAATAAAACCAAAAGAAAAACAAACAAAGATATTAAGAGAGCTCTGCTTATATGTTTGCCTTTACTCTTTTGTTTTGATAACAGGGACAATATAGAACCACACATAGGCTGTGGTCTTAACTGATTCCTTATCTGGGTGTGCCTGGCCTGTAGAAGAAATTTTATGAGCAGGCTGGTATTCCTCCACGTCTCACAGTAGTTCACTTTAAGAATTTTGCAGGATTTTTCAGGTTATTCAGATGACTATTTTCAGAGTACTGAGGTGAAGTCACATAAACAATTAAAACCCCAAGTTTTCTTCAGCTTCATAAGATTAATGTAAACTGTATCATATATTTAAAATAAAGTATTTGGCTATTTGATCACAAAATAATGGTTCCCAAACTTGCTGAATCAACAGACCATTGCCGATTTTCAAAATTTCTTATGTAAAACTACCACTATTCAATAAACCCTCAACTGAAAACACTTTTTATTAAGATTCCATGGATCAGCCTTGTAGTTACTATGAAAGTACAAGGAAGCTGATAAGAACAAGATAACTAACCTTCCAATGACATGTATTGCTTCTTTCCATCTGTTTAACATTTACCTGTTTTTAACTTTGCAATAAGTAGTCACAAGCAGCCTGTCTAAATAGAAGCATCCAGGGAATTGTTATTAATAGCTAATAAAACCATCTACCTCATGGGGAAATAAAAAAGCAGTTCTACTAATCTGTGACAGCTTTTTCCCCTCCTCTCTTTGCTAGATTCTGCCTTGTAGAAATTTGAAACAAATCCTGAACACACTCAAAGTTTATTGATGGAAAATACACTTGGCAGAAACTATGGCAATTAAATGTCTCATCATTTTCTTGTTCCATTAATTTGTTTTCTAAATTCCAACAGTTAAACAAAAAGGAACGCTGCCTTTTCCAGCAGCCATTTCCGCATTCCAAACAGCTGCCAGATCAAAAATGTTCTCACTCTTCCTTAATTATATGATTGTATAACAAATCCACTTGAAAGTTGTTCTGTGGCAAATAAAACCCTTTTTAGGGCAAAGTCAAGGACATGAAATAGAGCTCTTCGAGAAAACCTAAAACAAAACTGCGGATTTACAGGATCTTCATAAAAATTATGAGGCAAATGATTCATCGTACAGATATTTTTTAAGAATTTCATGACAGCAAAATAGGAATGCCCATAAATAGCCTCAAGAGAAAGAGTTATTCCAATTATTTCAGTTAATTATAATATGTAACTCAATAGCAAAGCACTTCATGCAAATAGGTATTTTTCTACTTATTCACTTAAGTTCAGTAACGTAACCTTTAGCTGTGTAAAGATGAATGAAGCAATGAGAACATCCACATGAGCAGAAGACTGCTTCCGTGTTACTACAGAAAACTTGATTTTAGTCCTTTAAGAGTTCAATTAACCCTCCCTGCCAGTTTAGTATACCCTAGACAGAGACAGTATAACTACAGCTGACCCTTGCTGTGACACGAGACTGTTCTAATCCAGGAAGCTGCACGCTCACAGCAGCCTTATCTTGGTCTTGGGCTGTTAAATGAACCTTTCTGCCAGAACTTAGGAAGACTTCACTTGCATATAAGGAAAATGAAGGAATCGGTGGTTTTGAGCCTGAGAGGTCTATGGACTGCTTTTAATGTATCTGCAGAATGTAACTAAGAAATCCAGCCAATTAGGAGTTGTCTTCAGCTGGCTAACTATAAGAATTAGAATTAAAATAATTTCTACATGAACTGTCTGAATTCAGTTTCCATACTGTACTGCTTACATACAGGGTTGTTCCCGCCCTGAATTCTGTGCATTTGACAATGCTCCCAGGAAACAAACTCCTTAACGTGCATCCCATTCTGGACTGAAAGTTCTAATACTCAATGAACATCCAAATATTTTTTTTTTCAAATAAAACTTCCTGCCAACCTCAAATTTATTACCAAAACTAAGATTATGATAATCAATACAAACAACATGACCCCATTCTACCTTCCAACATAGGCAGTCACTGAATATACTTGTTATTATTTGCAGACAGAGCAAAACCCAAATGACACATGCTCAGTATATCAAACACTCCTTTTTAAACTGCTTTGCTGAACTGATATCCACTGGAAAATATCAAACTCAATTTTAGTTTTGCTGTTTGGAAACACGTATAATACATGCAATTTTCGTAAGTCTTACTATTATAAAATTAGAGAAATGTAAATAATTACAGAAAAAAGCTCTTTGGAAGAATCCCTCCTCCTCACAGCTATTCCTAACTTAAGTGTACACTGAAACTATTTCTCAACTTTGCTTGAAGTTGTAACATGCAAAGTCCTCAAACAGTGTTGGTGAGTGCAGAAACTAGCTTTATGCACAAATTATTTCTATGCTAACACTCAGAAGTGTGCTTTTATAACACATCACCCAAAGGAACCTTTATTGATATTTAAATGCAACTCTTCCATACTACCATGGTTAAAATATTTGAGTATCAGCACTCTACTTCAATGTACACTTGATAAAAAACAGGTAGACAAAAAGATACATATACAGATTATGCATCTAAAGTTACAAAAATAAATTTGCTTACCTTTTAGAAGAGCTACTTTTGCAATAGGTTCATTTAGATCTTGGTCATCCATTTGGGCATCTAAAAAAAAAAAAAACCAAACCAACCCTCACCTTTCAGAAAGCAGGTAGACTGCAGAGAGTTTTCATATATGCATTCATTAAGCAAAGAGATCTTTTTTGTTCTTCTCACTTTACAACAGTTAATTACGAAGTCACAAAATAGGCAATACTGTCTTAGGCTTGTACCTGGCTCCGCACAATACACAACTTCTCCGCTCTTTTGGAAAATGCTCGTGATTAAGTCATTTAATTCAAACTAATTAGATGTTACAGAAATCTCAGTTAAACTACTTACCTGTAGTGTCGTCACTGCTTTTTTCCTTGCTTGGACTAAGAGTGTCTGACAAATCAGATTCTTTGACTCTTGCTTGATTCTCTGTAAGAGACAAGGAAAATCAACTACAATCAGTAAATGCTTTATTCAGTCTCTTAATCATAATTTCTTTTATATATATATATTTAACTGTACTGCTAGATGTCAATAAAAACCCAACAAAGTCGAAGAAACACTTAAAATCTGGTGGTTGCTTATTTCTTCATAAGTCTGGGCTAAAATGGATTCAGCATCACTGAAGTCATTACTAGTCTGGCATCTAATAGGGGATGCAACTGCCTCATGCACAGCTTGAACTTTTGTTTAAGCTGTATTCTTGCCAATTGGAACTCTGTGTAAAAGCTGATTCAATCAGGGAACAAATAAGAAAACTAGAACAATGCAGATACTGTAGCAAGTCAGAAAGGAACTGCTGTTAAGAATAAAAATGCGCTTCAGTATTTTGGACAAATAAAATAATAGCAACAAGTCTTGTATATACTGTACTGTTTAAAAAAAGTGTGGTATGAACCAGTAAAGAATCACAGCAATACAAATTAATACACTAATTTCTATAAAGAATTTTCAGTTCAAATTGTATTAAGAGAAGGCAGCCTATAGCCTTTCCACAAAAATATATCTTCATGAACTATCTGCTCATATACAACCCACCATATTATTACATGTAGCTTAGTGAAGCCATACACCGGTGCTGGTTTGTTTGGGTTTTTTTTTTTTTCACCAGTCTTAGATTATTAATGAGGAGCAGACATTGTCAAGAGGTGAGGGAACTTAGTTATTCTAGTGCATCCTTTTCCCACACAGCAGTAGCCCTGACTCAGAGTCTAAACACTTGGTGAGACACTTTTTTTTTTTTAAATAAACATTGCAGTTTATTTCTGATGGGTCCATTAAAGAAGGGCACACCATCTCCCGTGTGGGCAAACCCAGTAAGTTTGTCAGCGAGGAACCATGTCACCAATATGCAGGCGAGGTTACATAATGAAGTCTTTTTTGGCTGACTATGCAGAGTCTTGGTTTGACAGCATCACTGCCCACCCACAGATTAATAGAGATTTCCTCTGAGTCTCAAGTTCCAAGTAGAGATATATATATAAAAAAGGATTATTACAACTTTCCCAGTATAAACATTTTACTTTTACCTTATACACAGAAAAGTATGGTGGACTCAAATAATTTCTTCACATATAGATACTCGTAGATGCAACAAAAAAGTACCAGGACACAGGAAGAAAGATGCACAGCAGTAAATAAATCAAGTGTGTTATACCAATAGGGTTAGTATATGAAAATACGTAAAAACCAAAGGAGTCAGGAGAAAGCTTGCGTGCATTGTTTTTTCAAGTAAAAAGAAAACAAACAGAACTAAATATCCCCAAAATGAAAGAAGGTAAGTGGAAACTAAAGACAACCTGTGCACTTACACTGGGAAATTAGCAAGATGACACAACACAGACAGGTTAATAGAAGGGAAAAAAAACAAGTTTTCTTCAACTACCATGAAAAGTTTTCTATTTCTCTGTGCCAGAATAACATCCACTTGTACATGAACAGAAGGCAGCAAGTACAAACAAAGCAGCTGATCAAGAGCCAGACTCTTCTGTCTTAATGTAACTGAAAACACTGGAGAAGGAGAAGGGAAAAGCACTCGTACACTCAAAGTGCATTAGGGGTTCTGACCTGGCAGCTATCCCAAACATACCTCATATGACTTCAGCAGACTTCAAAGCTCATAATAACCAGAGTAGTTAAAAACTTGAGGTTTCGGGGTGGTTCTTTGCTAAAACAAAAAGGCTATTTCCCTATTTTTAGGAATAAGGTTTTTAACTTATATCTAAAGATGATACAATACAAAGCATTTTACACGTACAGAATCAAGCTCACAAGATTGCCATTAAAACTGCAAGAATTACTAAACCAAGTAATACATTATTTTTAAAGTATTAAGAAAAGTAAATCCTAAAAGCCTCACCCATGTCGTTTATATTAGTGGCCAATCCAGAAGTGCTAAGCTGAGCAGTATCTGTATCCAACTAACTTTACCATATCTGGTCAGACATGGAAACACCGCTTCCTTGCTCTGTGCAAAACGGGAGGAACAGTGCAAGTTCCACCCGCTGAATTAATTCTCTCTCTCCCCCCTCCCACCCACGCTCGGGTACACCAGCTTTTTCCGGCCTTCTATCCTCCTCCCCCTGAAACAAGGAACAAGATTAGGCACTAGAGAAAAGATGCAGAAGTCAAAAAGAGAAGTGGTTTAGAAACCTGCTTCCTATTCTGGAACTAGAGTCATAAGCACAAAACTCTTTCCTGTACTATATTATTTCACAGCAGTTGTCCCTATTTCCCGTAATAAAACTGAGCTGAATAAATATAGCCAAAATGATGAAGTATATTAAAATGTGTTGACATCATACTTACTTGATGAGTTAGAATATATTAACAAACACTAAAAATAGCTCACAGCTTTGCAAGATAACTGGCATGCAAGTCTTACGTTACAGTTATTGTATGCATTCTTTTGCCAAATATGGCATGTTGTCTACAGCTTACTCATGTACAGAAACAACTTAAAGGTGTAATTCCATACATCAAGGTAAGTGAAGATAAACTGAAAAGTCTCTAAAACACCAGAACTTTTAACAAGCTAACATTTATTCAATACAATAATACTTTGCAGAAGGACAGAGGGTAAAGAAATGAGGTAGTATGTCTAGACATGAATAAAAACCTACAAAAGTGGAGTCACTCTACAAGTCCAAACAATCTTACATTGTTAGGCACATAGGAAATTGATCTACATACTTCATAGCATTCTGAGTCTGGCGCTGCAAGATAAGGATGACAGTTCCTTGACAAGATAAATCTTTTCTAATTAGCTCCTTGTATTTTATTTGTTTTATACAGAAGAGAAAAAAGTTAGAGATGTACAGTTATATTTTACTTGGAAAAGGTACATTTAGGAGGTTGACAGTTATTTTAAAATTATGAGGATGGAAGTTAGAAAAAAGTCAAAATAAAATAAACTTTTATTTAAAACTTAAAATGAGACCAAACATTATTTCTATTTAGTCCTATAATAAAAACAGAAACCTGTTTGAAATTTATGCAGGCACTAAAGATTTAAATCAATTTATAAAAAATATTATATTTTAATTTTTTTTTTTTTTTTTTAAATGCACATTCAGCTAAGAACTCAGTCAAAACTGAGACCAGCATTTCATGGACTCAATCTTCAAAAATTGTTTCTTTTAAATCTTTTTATCCTACAATAGTATTTGGAGCAGAGTTCAGTAATCAATATATCTTCCCTTCATTAATTTTTTTTCTTAAGTAGTCAGCAAAACTCAAACTGCTAGTTTAAGACAGAACATGCACTGAAGTGACATAAAAAACATGCTTCAAAACCAGTTAAAGAATCCAGAAATCTAACCTTTCAAAAGCTTTGTTTCTTCCACTTTGGTTAGATGTCCTTCATCTATGATCTTGTCTGCCAAACAAAATAAGTGTTACTTTCCAAGCTCAAATTAAGCAAGCTTTTCCTTGCACACAGCTACGCAGACTACATTCCATGACCAAATTAAAAGCTGGTAATATTACTTCCTACTCAGGCTTGAACAAAAACTTTATTCTGGCATGAAATAATGAAACAGAGCACATAAACCTACTGGAACGTTGTGATAAAGTGCATAATTATTTCTTCTGCAATTTATTAGCTTACATTATTAATGCTTCAATTGACTAATGAGAAGTTAGGAAAATTAATTTTTATGAACTTTTTAAAAAAAAAAATCTAACTGGGAGCAATAAATAATTAATACATTTCTCAAGTTATATTTATAAAAAAGCAGTTCTAAGAGCTGGCTGCCTGAACTAGATATCCACCAGACACAGCAGAAATACGCCACAGTACAACAGAAACTGAGAAGCCACCTCGACATCCCACCTGCTTTAACAGTGCCTATGAAAGGTACACAGAAATAGCCTCTCTCAGCTTAAAACATTCAGACCACTGCACAAACTTCCAAAAAGTTGTGTGTGCATCACATTCAGGTTCACAAAAATCGAATATACATACAGCATTGACAGGGAAGTCGGGTATGTCAGTATGTCAGGTGCATAAAAACAATTTGAGACTACATTGCTAACTTCATCCTAGCTCCAGCTAGGACATGAATGCAAACAGTAAGACCAAGGGAAGAACAGGTTTGGATTAATCAAAGACACTAAAAGAACTATTGAACCAGTAATTCATTAACTTCCTTTTCAGAGGAGATTTCATTATTTCAAATTCCTTAACAACCATGCCAACAGGCAAAATTTTTGAGGGTCACATATCTTACAGATCACATCATCAATTTCTATGCAGTAGATCTTGCACTTTAGACAAGGCTGAGAGCTGTTAACAACCACTGAAACACCAGGCTTGAAGGTGCCTCTGCCTCCACTCTGAGCTCTCCCTGATGGATCCCCGACAATCAGGCAGGGAACCGAGTTTGCTGGTCATGCCATGTGCTGTTTACAGGGAACTAAGACACAGAGAAGAACAGCACGTACAGGAGAGTTCAGATTAAGGAAGCTGGAGGACAGTATATCCTTTAATTAAAAAAAAAAAATTTGTAAGCTTTAGTCAGCATTTCCAGCTTCACGTAGCTCTGTACTCCTCTGATGGCAGGTTTCTGTAACCATGACAATTTAAGGACAGAGGTGGGACTATATTTGCATGGAAGTATCTTTCTCAACTTCAGATTTTCAGGATTGGCTTCAGGTCTCAAGCAACTGTAGGAGATCACTCATCACCCAAGTTCAGAACAGTCTCAAGTTCATCAGAGCTGGAGCGAGTCACTGTGCCTAGACGGAGGAAGGCACCGTGGAGGGAATCAAGTTACCGCAGCCACAAATGAAGAGTTACTGAGTGATATCATGAGCCCTCTTTCATTAAACAAAAAAAAAAAAACCCCAAACCTCCAAACCTGAAGAAAAGTCTTCATATGTGACTATTCCAGGACTCGGCTGAGGCTGGAAGTAGAGCGGAGAGGATGGCAGCAAGAAAGCAGCTGAGGAACCTGATCTAGTTGAAGATGTCCCTGCTCACTGCAGGGGGGTTGGATTAGATGACCTTTAAAAGGTCCCTTCCAACCCAAACCATTCTGTGATTCTCTGAATTCTGCCCATATGTTGGAAAAAGACACTCGAAGTAGCTATCAACTGCTTGATCTGAAGGGGTAACACCTCCTCTGTGCTGGACAGTTAGCTTCAAATAGGCTTCTATAATCAGTTTACAGAAGAACAATTAACATTATGAATTGATGGATCTTAGAGTTTTCACAATTCAGTAACTGTTAAACCAAAATAATTACAGTACAAAACAAACTAGTCTTCTTGACCCAGATGATTTTCCACACCGAAACCTTTGCAGCAGCTCTTTACACTTTTAAGAATTCGCAATTCCTATGACTAAAAAAAAAAAAACCAATGACTTTTTTTTTTCTTTTCCATGGTGGTTTCCTCTTTTCTAATGTTTTCAATATTTGTACAATTTCAGTATTTGTACAAAAGTTTTCTTCGTGATGCTATTTCTTCAGCAAAGAACTTCAGCAGTAACACGAGTCTGCTTGCCCAGTGTGACTCAAAGCTGGTACAACCAGTATTTTTCACTTGATGACTGACATCTCTAACTTACAAAACAAATAAGCATTCTCTGGGTTTTAGGAGTGTAGCATTAGTGTATTTCAAAGCCAACAAGAAATAGTTTATTTGAGCATGCCTGTGTATATTTGGATAATAAACAGAAAATTGGACATTGATGTAACTGAACTAAATAGAACTTTACTCTGCACTCTGTTACCACCCTAGTCACTAAAAATGACAGAACCAAGACAACAATCAGAAAGTAAAAGCAGACATATCTGTATCTTTACAACTTCCCTTTTTCAGATCCCTGCATCTTTTCAGAAAATTTATTCCTAAATTTTTTTTTTTTTTTTTTTTTTTTAAGTCAATCCACATTTTCCCTGAATTAAGATATGCATTTTGGCTACCAAATTATAAATTAGGGTCAGGATCGTAGCTTTAATTTCTGGCACAAATAATTTTTATCTTTCATGCTATCCAGTCACTACTTAACAAAAAAGCAAAGAATTACGGATAGTTGTAATAAATAATAATAATTATTACTGAAACCAGCTGCTTTGATGTTAAGCTTTCAGCTCACCTTTAAGACAGTCTGTTTTAATTTTTGCTCATGAATGTAGTTCAAAGGCAGCTTTCATTTAGGTTTTTAGGCATTTCCTATCTTTCCAGAACAAGAACTTCCTTTTAGATTTAGGTTGCCTATCACTATGTGCAATATAAGAATTAAGATCTGTTAATACTATAATTACTTAAGTAACATGCCCTCAATATATTTACAGTTTTGTATCAAGTTAAGTTTTTGAAGGAGGCCAGTTTTGAAGACCAATGAAAGGAAACCTGGCCCCCAAGACACAAATTTCAATCAATCTGAAAAAAGCGACACTAACAGCTTTAACTTTACTTGCCACTTCCAGGTCAAAAATTCACGGAAAAGTTGAAAATAGCTATTCAATCTATCCAAAAACTACTCCATTTTAGATAGATAAATGAAAAAAAAAACCCAACAAAAAAACTAACCAAAGGTAAAGTTAGTCAAAAGGCAAAAAAATGACTTGCATTTAAAATCATAAATGCCAAAATCAGGACAAAAATAGGGACACAAATAAATAAGAGTTAGATTGGAGCAAAAGACAGGAAGCTAGCAGGGCACCAAATCTCTCTTTTCTGTATACATCATCACCAGCTTTGGTTATAAGTCATATCCTGTAGTAATCAAAAAGAAGCACGATGACTTTTGCTATTGATGTCACTGGTTTTCACCACTGGTTACTGAAAAGAAGTTATGAAATGAGTAAAGTGAACTGGATGTAATGATCAGAAAGTAACAGACTTCCCAGATCACTCACAGCAAGATTTCATAACATTCCACAGACGTTATAGATTAGGACAGGTTATAGTATCATAAGCCCTGTTCTGCTTAAAAAATAAAATAAAAATAATTTAAAAAAAATCTTTTGAAACCTGCAGAAGCTGGATTTTACAAACAATTATACCCAAGTTAAGCATTCAAGCTACACTGCAACTAAGATTTCAGTATTCTATTGTTTTTCCCTCACATAAAAAAAAAAAAATAAATCTAGCTTTAGTATCTAGAGAGGTCTTGATTGCTCTTAAGTGATAAGCCTTATACCTCTGTGGCAACTGTTTGTACAGAATACTAGATTGTTTAATCATCTAATTTTCCTTCTTGTGTTATCTTATATACTCCACTTCCTCAAGGTGTTTTTCCTCATTTCTCTGTTTGTGCTTTCCCAGTTTAAGTGCTTCTTCCCCAGAACTACAGGGATGCACACTTTCCCCACTCTACCAGCACAAGTCAGAACTTTCTCTTCCAGAAAAACTGCATGGTTGTCTCAATTCTCCTTTCTGTTTAGATTTCTCTTATGGTTTGCAGATCCTCTAGTTTTAATTCCTCTGCTTCTATTATGAAACAGCAAACTCTACATAACACAACTTCAATGAGTGACTTCTATTTCTGGGATTTTTATCGTATTATTATTTTATAAATAATAAACCTGCTCTTCTCCCAATCCCTAAACCTCCGGGCAAAAAAAAGCATAGCCCCATATGATGAACTATACA